CGGGCTCAGGCACCCAGCGCGAGCCAGTCTGGGGACACCCTTGTCTCCCACCTGTGTCACTGATGCCCCCAACCTCACGGGACTCAGTTTCCCTTGGGGGCGAGGTGAGGGGACTGGAGCGGTTGATCTGCTCGGCAGGAAGCACCGTCCGATGGGTGAGGGCCCGCCCAGATGCAGGGACGCCCTGTCCCCCACTCTGTGGTCACTCCACAGCGTGCGGTGCTTCCGGGTGGCTCTGCCAGGGCCTGGCTTGGTGTTTACTTCTGACCTCTTTCCTCCCATCCCTTGTACGTGTTCGTGCCTTTGGTCTTCCCCTGCCTGCCTCGGGGCTTCTGTGTCCCTTGTTTCACAGACGAGAGGACGGGGCTCAGGGGGCTTGAGTGATCTCTTCATGGTCACTGCCAGGCCACTCGGGGCTCTGGTTCCCAAAGCTGGGGCTGGGGACGGTGTCGTTCTGCTGTCTAGTTTTTTAAAACTTGGGAACATCTCTAACTATAATGTTTAATATTAATTCTAAATTCACCTTAACATAAAATGTTTAGAAATACTTCTCATCACATTTGGTTACAGAGAAGTGGACTGGCTGCATTCCACAGACAGTGCACGTTGCTCAGTGGGGAGAGTTCGATGTGTCAGCAGACAGGGCAGAACTGTGCGTCGCACATGGAGCGTTTAAAAAGCACAGATCTGATGGGAGGGGAGTGAGGCCTGTCCGTGTTGTAAGCGGTGTCCTTCATGGAGCTGTCGGTGGGTGTGGAAGGGCGGCGAGTGGAAATGCTGGGTTGACGTCAAGGGCACATTGATCAGTCATACCCAGTGACAGCTGTTTAGAAGCCTTTGCCTTGTCGTGAGGAGGCAGCATTGAAAAAGGGGGAGGACATTGACACTTTTTTGTAAAAAGTAGAAATGACAACCGGTCTGACCAGCGTTGGGAAACCGCAGGTTGGGAGCCCTGGCTGGGACTTTAGCCTAGGGGGTCCCATCTAGTGGTGCAAGTGTGAATTACAGGCACGGCCGACTGCTGCCGTGGGTCACCCGGAGGACCAGGCGAGGTGACTGAGGACGGGCACCTTACAGGGTGGGGGTGTCGGGCCACTGCTGGCGTGTTGGTTCAGTGCTGGATTCCCACAGCTGACCACAGTGCAAGTCCAGACCTGACAGCTTGAAGGTCACAGTGAGCACGTGTGCACGTACTCCCGAGGTTGCCCGGACCGCAGGCTGGCTTCCCGCCCCCCCTGCGTGTCTCCTGGGAGCACCTGTGGCCTATGTGTGACAGGTGCACAGGTTTGTCTTCCTCTTAAATTTCTTCTGAAAAAGAGTTCGTCTCATGTTACAGTATTTTCTCAATTCTGTGTATTTTGTTATTGTTGTTGGGGGCACATGCACTCAGAGACAGAGACAGGGAGAGGGAGAGGAGAGAACACGGCCACACCGCAGGCCCTCTTCCTCCTCCTCATTTTGGGATTGGGGACATGCCCACACACGTGGCCTATGTGTTCCTCACACCTCAGGGTCTGGGATTCGAATTGCACATCCTGCTGTGCGGGGTTCAGCTCCTTAAGCACCAGGCCATGGGTCTGGCTCAGCCCCGTGTGTCCTCGTGCTCTTCAGTAGCCCTGGGTGCCTCTCTTGGAGCACAGGCTTTTATCCGAATTGGACACCAAATCAAACTCTGAGAGTTACAGCTCCTGTCAGGCATTTTACTTTTTTTTTTTTTTTTTTTTTTTGAGAGGTTTTCGCTATAGGGCGCTTGCGCTCGCCAGGCAGAGCGGGCGCGTTTTAAAGAGAATGTTAAGACCAGCATTTTCCATGACTTCCGCTTCTGTTTCCTTTCGTCTCCCGTGTCAAAGTACAAGAGTGTGTGTGAGGAGAGGGCTGCAGACGTGGGTGTGACCCAGAGTGATGACGGCAGGGTGTGGAGGAGAGTGGACTCTGAGGGCGGTGGGAGGAATGGCCGGGAGAGGGACAGCGGGGAGGGCAGGGCAGGAAGGGGCACCCGGCCTCCCCTACAGCCCTGGCTCCCCAGGGCACCTTGGGAGGGACAGCGCCTGTCGGGCATTTTTCTTTTTTTTTTTTTTTTTTTTTTTTGAGAGGTTTTCGCTATAGGGCGCTTGCGCTCGCCAGGCAGAGCGGGCGCGTTTTAAAGAGAATGTTAAGACCAGCATTTTCCATGACTTCCGCTTCTGTTTCCTTTCGTCTCCCGTGTCAAAGTACAAGAGTGTGTGTGAGGAGAGGGCTGCAGACGTGGGTGTGACCCAGAGTGATGACGGCAGGGTGTGGAGGAGAGTGGACTCTGAGGGCGGTGGGAGGAATGGCCGGGAGAGGGACAGCGGGGAGGGCAGGGCAGGAAGGGGCACCCGGCCTCCCCTACAGCCCTGGCTCCCCAGGGCACCTGCTGGTCTGTGCCACTCGCGGGCCCGTGTGAACTGTCTCTCGTCCCGTCTCTGCCTCAGGGTTATCGACCTAGGAGTCATGACCCCCTGCGACAAGATTCTGAAAGCCGCTCTCGATCACAAAGCGGGTATGTGGCCATGCCGGGCCTCTCACCGCACCCCATGTCATCTAGCAGCTAGTTCTGCCCGACCCCTGCAGAGTCCATGGGGTCCTCGGCTCCTAAATGGGACTAAGAGGCGATCAGGTGCCCGTGGCGCTCCTTCAGGGCTCCGAGGTGGGGCGGTGGTAGGCCTGTGGTCCGTGTGCAGGCGCTCCTGGGTCTTCGAACTCGGGGACGCGCTCAGGTCTAGGAAAGTGGGTCCTGAGACTTCCTCCTCGGGCACAGCCCTGAGCGCAGTGGGACATGCACTGTGGCGTTGGTGTGCGTCGTACTTTCCACCAGACGCTAATGAAGACTCGAAACCCCAGTCGGGAAGGTGTCTTAGTTTAGGAACCGGGGCTGCAGCCTAGGTCTCGTTGTCCCTGTGACGGTTTGAAAGACGGGCCTTCACACTTCTCTTCCCCTCCTGCTCATTGCCTTCTGTTCTCTTTACATCCTAGATATAATTGGCCTGTCGGGCCTCATCACTCCTTCCCTGGACGAGATGATTTTCGTTGCCAAGGAGATGGAGAGATTATCTATACAGATCCCGCTGCTGATCGGAGGAGCAACCACCTCCAGGTGAGCCGCGCTGTGAGCCGGTGCGCACGCTGCGTCCCTCGGGCAGGGACGGACCTGCCTTGGCGTGCCTCAGCTCCTGGTCTTCTACACACACGCGCTCGGGCCTTCCCTGGGGCCGGAGCCTGAGTACTGGGTACCCCTATGGCCCCACCCCTGCCTTTTGAGGTCCCTTTGGTTTGCAGTGACCTTTTCCTAATTCACTCACCTCCCAACAGACCCTGAGAACTTGTAGCTCTCTGGAATCAGGCTGAGTGGAGAAGCTGGTTTTTGGCACAAAGACGCTACTTGAGCTTTGGCCCATTCCGTCTTGAGGCAGGTTTTGGATGGAGTAATCCCAGGGTCCCTGCAGAAGCTCTGACCTTGTGATGGTTCAGAGGCCAGAGAGCTGCAGGGTCCCTGGAGTGGTTTGGAGTAGGCACCAGAAAGAGTGGGAAGCACACGCTTGGTCACGTGATCACTGTCTGGTGTGTCCAGTCTCCTGGGACCGTGACCGCGGTGACGTTTGGTGAGAGGCGGGCATGCAGGGCACTGGACTTTGCCGAGCCGCACGTGGTTCACCTTGTCTGCGAGCAGGTCAGTTGGGTCCCACAGCACGGAGCAGGGACACTGGTGTGGGCTGGCCTGGGCACTGAGAGCTGCGGCTGCGCCAGGACAGCGGTGTGTTCGGCTCTGGTATTAGCGTCGTCCAGAGAGACACGGCACAGACCCCCCAGGCGGCTGCGGCCCCCTCTGACTCGCCCCCAAACCCTTGTCCAGAGATACCTCTGCCCTCCTGGTTATGGCTCTCACAGGCCAGCTCTGTGGCTTTAAGTGTCCTGTGTGTGAATGGAGGTGCTCCGGGAAGGGGCCAGGTGGGGCGTCCCCAGGTCTCGCCCAGCTTGTGACGGGGAGCCTTCGAGCCTTGTACGCAGGCTCACACGCACAGTGCACCTCGACGTTCCCGTGGCCTCGGTGGCCTACACCTCCTGGCATGTGTCAGCCAGTCCAGAAGGACAGGCATGCAGTGCAGCCTCCACACCCCAGGCCCCAGCCCCCAGTGCGGACACCGTGACGCTGTTGCAGGGATGACTCTCCCGTGCCCTTGTCAAGGCATGGCTATGAAGAGCTTCCCCAGGTCCATCGAGAGACCTCATGACAGCCACAGTGGGAGCTGGCTCAGTGCTGAGCCCAGCATAGGCAGGCGGGCCAGTGGGTGGAAATGATGGAGAAGAAATGTCAGGCAGGGCACCATGGCTAGGCGGCCCACAGGATTCCTGCAGCGGACACGCCAGGCCATCAGATGTCACCAGGGAGAGGTGGAGGACAAAGGACCTGCCCGTGTCACTGATGAGGTGGGGTGGGTCTTGCCAAACTGACTTCGCAGGGCACCGTCCCCAAACAGAGCCATGAATGGCCTTGCAGAGGTCCAGAAGCCTGACTGAAGAGTGGCCAAGCAAAACAATCCCCATCCTCAAGTCCCCTGTGTGTTTCTCAATTCGTAGAAAGTCGGTGTCAGATCGGTGCTGGCGGTAGGGTGAAGATGGTGGGGTCGGTGTCTTTAAAATGGAGTTGCATTCTGCCCACTGGTTTCTTATATGCAACAGCATATTCTGGAAAACTTTCCAGACTGGAACACACTTCAGTCGAGGGCAAAGAGCAGGAAGCACCAGGCCTGGTGAGGACGATGAGTGGAGAGAAGACCCAGGGGTGCCCCTCCCGTGGCCTGGCCACGTCCACTTGTCTGCAGTCTGGCCCGGGTTGGCCGCTGGGGGGCGGGGGGCATGCTCGCATCCAGCTCCCGCCGGACCTATGCTCTGTGGAGCAGCAGGTGTGCGGTCTGTGCTGTTGCAGGAGGCACCCGGGCCAGAGGGCAGTTGGCTTTACCCTCCAGGCACCCTTGCAGATGGCAGGGTGTTTCCTCCCCGTTGACGTCTTTACGCGGGGCAGGGGGTCAGTGTAGAGTCTTTGTCTTGCCTTTGCCTCTGTTACTGTGTCGGGCTCGGGTCAGGGCTTCCTTACGACAAGGACAGTGTGGGGTGGGGCCGCAGTCTTCCACAGATGGGATGCAGCACAAACCGTGTGTTCTGCCCGGTCCCCGCGACCCTGCTGGGGACCTAGTTTGCCTGGATGGCGGGACCCAGCTAGACCTTGATGGCAGGAAAGCACGGTGGCGTGACTGGCCACCTCCCTGGGTTCAGACGGGCCACTCAAGAGCTCTGAGTCGTGGGCTCGGTCCCTGTCCGCCGAGAGCTGCAGACAGGTCTGGCGCGGGGGTCCCAGGCTCTGTGTGTGCTGACACCGCATGTCCTGCCGCGGCTCCCCGTCTGAAAGTGGGGAGACTCGTGCCATAGCTGAGGGAAGGGTCTGCGTGGGACGCACCAGGAGACGGCCGCACTGCAGCTCTGCACCAGAGCCCTGCAAGCCGTCGGCTGAAGGCCGTTCTCTCCCCCGCAGGACCCACACGGCAGTGAAGATCGCTCCGCGGCGCAGCGCGCCTGTGATCCATGTGTTGGACGCGTCCAAGAGCGTGGTGGTGGTGAGTGGCCGTGTCCTGTGCCGACGTGCTGTGGCAGTGAGCAGAGCGCCCCACCAGCGGGGTGTCTCCCAGCTCCGGCCAGGCCCCATGCCCAGGCCATGCAGGTGCGCGTCCGTCCCAGGCCTCGCCTGCTGCAGTGACCGCCTCACGGAAGGAGGTCCCGGGATGCCCTGTGTCTCCGAGACCAGTGTGGGCTGGCGGCAGACGGAGCGAGGTGCCTTGCCACCGTGACCTGGACAGCCACACAGAGGTCACACCCACGTACAAATCGGCACTTCCTTGACCACCACCGGAGTTCAGAGGAGTGTGGGTGTTAAAGATGACCACTCCCAGGTAGAATCACGCCAACCCTGCCCCGAGACAGGACGCCCTCCAGCCGTGGGGTGCCCAGACAGCAGGCCCTGTCCGTCAGCCAGCCAGCTGCTGCCCGTGTCCTGCCCAGTTTGGTGCAGCCTCACATCCGGTCCTGCTGTGGGCTTTCCCCTCTTGGTCAAGTGACCAGATGCCAGGCGAGGGCAGCCTGACCTGTCAGGGCTCCAGGCTGCTGTGGCACGGGGCCCTCGTCTGGCAGTGGCATCCACCCGAAGCCCAGGCGGGGTGAGGACAGCAGGGCCACAGCCCTTCTGTCCGTCACCCACCCTCCTGTAGCAGAGCGCGCCGTGGGCTCCCATGCAGCCAGCCCTCATGTTTGGCAGGGCAGTGTGAGGGCTGGTGACCTGGCAGACCATGGTGACGGCTGTGGTGTGGTGAGGTGACCACGTTTCCCGAGCCGTCTTCAGAGAAACCCTTTCAGGTTTACACGGAAGTTCTGGGAACCGTACTGAGCATGTCTCGGCACAGGGCACCGGTGCACCGAGCACGGCCCCGGGTGGGTTTGCTCAGCCCTCAGCGCAGTCTCAAGTGGCGGGCACTGTGGCGCCCTACTCTGCAGGTCCGTAGGGGTGAAGGGGCAGCTCCCGGGCGGTGTGGGATCTGCAGGTGGGCACTGTGGGATCTGGAGAAGGGTCTGACTCTCACCAAAGCAAATTGTTCCCGTTAGCACCTGACGCTTCCTACTGCGCCAGCTCAGACGCAGTCAGGCCACACCCGCGACTCGCCCCGCTGCAGCGGTGTGTGGATACCCGGGCTCAGTTCCCAGCCCTTTGCACCTTCTCCTAGACAGTGCTGCACAGGAGCGGCCCCGGCCCGTGCGGGAGTGGCCAGCTGGCCCGAGCCTTTCCCGCTGGTGTCAGGGCTGCTGGGCCTGACGGTGCGCACTGGCACGCCTCCTCCTGGGGGCAGGACTGAGCTGGGTCCTACCCTTGGGACTGCGGCGAGGCTGCAGGACGAGCAGTGGGCCTCAGTGCTGTTTGTGGATTGGGCCAGCTGGCCTGGTGGGGCCAGCACTTCTCACACACTCCAGAATGACTCGCGTCAGGTGACGAGTCTTGAGTAACCTCCAGCGCCCACCAGGGCCCGTGCGGGGCTGGTGCGGCTGGCCGTCGCAGGGCGTGGGGTCTGTGGGGCTGACTGAGCTGAGCGTGGGACAGGCCCAGCTTTGGCGCCTGTCTCGTGTCTGGGAGGTTAGAGAGGTCGTAGAAGCTGCCCGGTGTCTGTCACAGACCTGAGGACGTGGCTGGCCCGGCCCGGCCTCCTTTCCTTCCCTCTAAGCGGAGCACAAGGCCCAGTGCTGGCTCTGTCAGTTAGGGACGTCTTCAGGGTTACTCCCTCCAACCGTGTGGCTGTGGTCAGGACTGATGGAGACGCGTGAAGGAGAGCCAGGACTGGGCTAGGTCTCTGCGCGGTCTGAACGCAGGCCGTGCAGGGTCTCGCTGTGGGGCAGGGCGTGGGTCGTGCCTGTTAGCGTGCCCGTGTTCCACATCCCCCGTGGCCCTGTGAGCAGCCGGCCGTGTCCTGCTCTGTCATGGCGCCATCGGGCTGCGAGGTCTCCGAGGAGCAGGGCACCCGTCTGCTTACTGCCAGTGTGTCCAGCAGAGGACAGCCCCCGGGTGGGCAAGGGGCCTCCTCCCTGGCTCCCAGCCAGCCGTGCCGGGCTTCTGAGAGAGGCTGTGAAGCTGGGAGACACTGTCCTGTCGTGCCGTGAGGTTTGTGGCTCCACTTGGTGGCATCTTGGAGGATAACCCTCACTGTCGGGTGGGCGGTGTACTCAGAGACAGTCAGAGACATGGCCGAATTCGCACGGATTAGACTTCCAAGTCCGGTCCGCACTTCAGCCGCCATCCTATCTGACCTCGGGTTCAGGTGAAAATCGTGAGACCCCTGCTTTTTTTAGAAAGCCTTGCTGCAGCGGGCAGGGCGGTGCTGCAGTGCTGGCTGTGGGTGCTGGAGCCCTTCTTCCTCCTCTGTCACTTGGTGGTGGCTGTCCTACAGACCCAGTCACCGTCAGACACAGCGCTTACCGGACCCTGGGGGGCAGAACGAGGCTCGCATTTTCTCTTCTAAGGAATTACTTCATCTAATTTGTTCTTATTTATTTTAATTTGATCAAAGACAGACAGTAAGAGAGAGAGAATGTCGTGCTTTGATGCTGTCATCAGCAAGACTCTAGTCAGCACTGGCGAGCCGGAGGGAGAGCTCCACGGAGACCCTTGGGGATGGTGCTGGCGGTAGCCAGAGCTGACCGAGCGTCGGGCGGCCGAGGGCAAAGACGACAGAGGGGTGGTCCACCTGCTGATCTTAGAGTGCGGCGGTCAGGGCTGGTGGCCGACAGAGGACAGTGGAGTGGAGAGCCGTCTGGGAGGGGAGGAGTCGGTCTGTGAACCGGCAGAGCCTCCGGCATCAGGTGGGGTCTCAGATGCAGCGAGACAGGATCTGGCCCAAATGGAGGACAGAGCCGATGAGTGGCTCCAAGCCCGGGGCTTTAGCAGGCAGTTTCTGCAGTCTCATGGTGGCAAGGAGAGTGGCTGTCCGTCGCCCTCTCGGGCCCAGATGGTCCTGTCCTGACCATCTGGTCTTTGACATCATCCCGAGATAGGCGGCCATCCTGGGCAAGGTGCCTTAGCTGGATGACACTCAGGGTTATGGCCAAGTCATTCTGGCGTGAGCCCATAACTTAAGATGGCGGTACTTTGGTTCACCGTATAGCACTTAAACAGTAACAACCAAGGGTACAGGTTACATGCCAAGTGTAACAGGGAAAGTGAGAGAGCAGCTCGAACCGTGGTCGGCCACATGGGAGTCCACCGCCCTTAACCACCATGCCACCTGCCGGCCGAGTCTTGCGTCTCCTCGGCCTCTGGGCTTCCTCCCGTATTTGGCACAGTCCCACAGCTGACCACTGGGATCAGCCTCATGGCTTCAGCAGATGTCCAGGGAGGCCACACCTGTGCACACCAGGTACTCAGCCGTGCGCTGCAGGGCTGAGGTCACGCGTGAGCCCAGCTCTCAGGCCTGCCTCCTGGTGAGGGAGGAGGGACAGCTGGTCCTAAGCCAGCTACTAAACCGGCAAGCACAGTGACAAATGGGACACTGAAGGGGGTCCTAACGAGGGTGGTGTCCCTGAGACCCGCCCCCAGCCTTGTGACTCACTAGAGGCCGCGCAGAAGCCATCCGCCCTTAACCACCATGCCACCTGCCGGCCGAGTCTTGCGTCTCCTCGGCCTCTGGGCTTCCTCCCGTATTTGGCACAGTCCCACAGCTGACCACTGGGATCAGCCTCATGGCTTCAGCAGATGTCCAGGGAGGCCACACCTGTGCACACCAGGTACTCAGCCGTGCGCTGCAGGGCTGAGGTCACGCGTGAGCCCAGCTCTCAGGCCTGCCTCCTGGTGAGGGAGGAGGGACAGCTGGTCCTAAGCCAGCTACTAAACCGGCAAGCACAGTGACAAATGGGACACTGAAGGGGGTCCTAACGAGGGTGGTGTCCCTGAGACCCGCCCCCAGCCTTGTGACTCACTAGAGGCCGCGCAGAAGCCATACCACAGTTCATCACCGTGAGGACGCTGTGGGCGGGATGCGCCAGAGACTGGGCACGGTGTCCGTGGCGTCTGGGTTCTTCCACTCAGGATGTGCCGAGCTGAGCTCGTAGGGAGTGCTCACCCGGCCATGCTGTCCTACTTGTGGACGGAGGCCGGTTAAGTGGGCCTAGTGGGCCTAGAATGCCCTTGGGTCTGGCCAGGGCTGCCCGTTCTTGAGCGCCTCCAGAGGTTAAACGGTGACAGCAGGGGACAGGCCCGCCAGGGAGCGGTGGTGAGCCGAGACCTGTGACCGCGCGGTAGACGGCGCGCTTACGCTCACCAGGCCGGCCGCTCCGGGCGCAGTGCTGACCTTCCTGTCCTTCACCCTCGCTGCACATCCAGGCAGGAGGGGACGGAGCGGGAGGGCGTCCTGTGGTCCCAGGGCTGGCTGTCCGGCCCCGCGGTGTCTGAGCTGGGTCTTCCGTTTTCAGTGTTCGCAGCTGTTGGATGAAAACCTGAAGGGCGAGTACTGCGAGGAAATCTCGGAGGAGTATGAGGACCTCAGACAGGAGCATTACGAGTCCCTCAGGGTGAGTGGCGGGGTCCGGCCTCTGCTCGCTTGTGCCAGGAGCAGCCTGATGGTGCTGTCTCTGACGGGCTTGCCGAGCCCTCCTCCCCTGCCTCCCATTCGGTCCACAGGCCGCTGTCCCACGCCTGGCTCTTTCCCGACGTGGTCTTGCTGTGTCCTCAGGCTGGTGTCACGCTCATAGACCTCCTGCCTCGGCCTCCTGAGCTGCGGGGACCGTAGGTTTGGACTGGGAATTAAACCAGGCTCCTATGGCCCTGCCTGCCCCGCAGTGTCCCAGCACCCCGCGCCATCAGGCCGGGGCCTTAGCGTTCTTAGTAGCCAGAGGGTGCACGTGCTCCCCAGAGAGCCCCAGGGGTGCTGGCTTGCTGTGATAGCTCTTCCTCCACGTCTCGTCCCGTCACGGTCGGGCACACACACGTGGTGCCTGCCGTGTTTTTCAGGGTTCTGGGGCAGGATGTGAACTGGGACTGGCTGTGCAGGGTGTGGCTCCCAGTGAGCAGGGCTTAACTGTTAGGCTACGGGGTCAGCCCTGGGCCCCGAGTTATTACATATATTTTTAGAATTATTATATTTAACTTTAATTAATTATTTTTAGTTTAACCAGAGGGGGCAGAATTTGAGAGAGAGAGAGAGAGAGAGAGAGAGAGAGAGGAAGTGAGAAAGCAAGCCAGCAAGCTGCCAGGTCCAGGACTTGAGCCACACTTGGCCACATGGGAGTCCAGCACTCCTACCCACTACGCCACCTACTGGACGGGGCCCCTCATTTTTAATGTGACTTTATTATTATTGTTTTGAAGAGGATAAAGGCGATGTCCTGTTTGTTACTCCACATCCGAGTTCTTTAGTGTCTCTGGTCCAAATAGCTCTCGGTTACTCTGAGGTAAATTTTTGCTTACGTCTCCAGACATTTACGGGGCGCCCAGTGAATGCTTGGAGTGGTGCTCAGCACTAGGGCTTGGAGAGCGAGCCACACGTGAGCTTCCCAGGCGCCCAAGGCGATGCCTGCTGGTCTGTGCTCGAGAAGGGGAAGGGAGTGGACACAGTTGAACAGGGCGTCCGCGCCTCCCCTGACCGCCGCATGCTGACCAGTCGTCTCAGGAGCTGCCCTGGAGTGGTTCAGGGGATCTGTTGTTACTGGAATCATGACGGCCCCTCGTGTGATCTGCCTTCTGGCCCGTGGCAGGCATGGAGGAGATGCCAGCGCGGGGCGAGCGGTGTGGCTGTGCTCCCCAGGAGCCAACCTCCCATGCTCTGACCGGCCTCCCAGCTCCCCAGTCGTTGGTGGCTGCGGCAGGCCGGCTCCC